AGAGAGACAGAGAGAGAGAGAGTTTTTAATTTCTACTTATTTCTCCTGAAATTCTGCTAAATAGCTACAAAGGAATAAGGCATATATTTCAGGACTGCCGTCATAGTCTCCTGACTGTAGTTTCTTCAAACAATATTTCATTTCATTTATGGACATTTTCAAGCAACGTGGAGGGAAAGGCAGGGTTATCCTCAGGTATTCACAGCAAGCCTTGGTGAGGATGAGGGTCTCCGTGCAGTGTCCCAGCCTTTGCAATTTGTCTCTCTGGGGGCTGGAACAGTGTGGGGTGGACAGTCAAACTCCAGAGGGTGATTTTGTGATAGACCCACAAGTTCTGTTCCAGCCCTGCCTCTCAAGAAGGGCAGCTTGGGCAGGGATTTAGTTCGGTGGAGCCTTGCCTGCCTGGCAAGCTCAAGGTCCTGAGTTCAATCCTGGTACTGCAGAGGACCATAATATTGATTATGCCCAAGGCAGGGTGTAAAGAGCTAATCCCACAATTGGCTTGTTTTGAGAAGTGAGTCTGGCTGAAGCCTACGTGCCGAGGTCAGAGTAACTCGCACCCAAATTCTGTTCCCACAACTAAACTTTCAGACTAGAAGGACAATGTTCTAATTACAACCATATATTTTGTCTATTCTGTTCCTAATTTGGGAATGCTTTGTCTTATCCTGTATGAGCCTTGTTTACATTAATTTCCATAGAAATCACACGTCGCCTTTACCCCAATTGATTGCCCATAAAAGTCAGTGACTTTGTTGGTTGCACCAGCATTGGTCATCCTGGCCCCTGCTTTCTCTCTCTTAGTTCTGTCTCTGAGTGTACTCTTTTTCTCAGGCCTATGTTGATCCCTGGGCAGGTGGGTACTGGAACCTGACTACAGGGGTCTCTACTATGGTACCAAAAAAAAAAAAAGGCCAGCTTAATTCCCTTCCTGTCACTTCTGTGCAGAACTTAATAGCAAATGATCCATAATATAAAACATGAAGAAGAAATGAGTTAGAATACCCAATAATGCAAGGCATTGTAGCTCCCTCCTTATTCTTGCTCTGGGAGCACTTGAACTTGGGGAGGCAGCACCTCCCCAGGGTCTTGAGCAGCTCCATGAGAAGAGTGAGACCTTGTCTCAAAAAACCAAAAAAAAAAAAAAAAAAAGGATTAAACCTCTCCAATACATGTGGAGCATGTAAACTTAGCACACCCAGTGCCTAGCTCGTAGTAAGGGCTCAGCTATTACTTCTTATGTAGATGAAGATATGGAGTCTTAAGTGTCTCACAGGCCAGGGTCCTGCCGAAGCAAACTGAGCAGGAACTCTACTCTGGAGCTCTGGCTCACAGTGGCCTCTGCAGGGTCTCCCGTGCCTCCCTCCTGCACACTAGGGGAACTGTCCACAGAAAAGCCCCAGGACTCCCGGAAGCACGGAGGAGCGAGCCCGCCCAGGTGAAGCTGCTGGAGACCTTGGCGTCATCCTGGAAATCACTCCTGGAAACAAGTGGGAAAAGTGGAAACACTGGTTTGTTTTAATGGAAATAAGGGGAAGGCGCCACTTGGTTGCCTGATTGAGGAGCCGTGACCCCCCCCCCCCCCCGCCAAGAGCACTTTTGCCATGGAGTATGTGATGTGGCTGCCCGGGTCCCCTGGGATGTCTGAGATGTGTGCCCTGCACCTTCCCGGGAGGGATGGAAGCTGTGGGCCGTGCTGAAAACAAGGTTAGCAATGCTACACCCAGCTGCGGTGAGTGGAGGGAACCCTCTTCTCTGGGTTGCTCCATTTGACAAGGCAGCAGGCTTTCAACTTAGCCCTCCCTCCTCTGAGGGAGCAGAAGGGGGGCCCAGAACCAAGGAGAGAGCTGGGTCCCTCCTAGGACAGGCAGGAGACATAAGTGGGGGTCCCTGTAAGCAAGTTCATTGCTTTCCTGCCTTCCATTTTGCTATCCCTTATATATTTTTTTTTCTTGAACTCAGGACCTCACACTTGCCAGGCAGGCACTGTGGTGCTGAGGTTAATCCCCAGCCTGGTTATCCCTTAGATTTTAAAGTAAGCATGCCTGTAGATTTCTCTAACCATGCCTGGCTACAATTAAGGAGGAGAAAGTTCCTTTCTTTCTTTGTATAGCTGGTATGTAAGGTCATTTCTAAGATATTTTTAGTGGTGAGGTTAGTATGTCCAAAATGAACAGTGATTATTAACTTACTAATAGTTTAGGATTATCCTAGATCTATTTCAAAGAACATTATAACATTTATGAATTAAGCCAAGACAAAGAAACAACTGCAAACAAAGTGACTCCTTTGAGGACTCTAAGAGCTGATCCTCTAAACAAAGAAGGCTATTGTATAATTGTATAAACTCACTCAAGGTTACTGTGAGGATTAATGAGATTAAAATCTGCAAAATGCTTCCAGCTTTTCCCAGAATTCTTTTATAAATAAAGATGGCATTAAAGTTTTTTTTTCAGTAAAGTATCTATGTTGGTCCTCCCAGAATCCAATGTAACCAGTTCACCTGCTGTTTAACCCTGGAACAGAGCAAAATAAAACAAATTGGATCAAGAAAGCAGCCCAGCAAACTACCCCAGGACAAACCAAACCGAAGTTTCCTTTAATGGTTTTAGACCTGGTGCAAGAGCACACACGACCGGGCAGAATTTAATTTGTTACTAACAAAGATCTCGGTGTGTGATTTACACTACGCGATCATGCCTTGAAATCACCATGCCAGGTAGTAATTAGACATAAATTACTGTAATTATTACAGCTATTTTATACTGACTGACAAAGTTTTACTCGCCTCTTTGTGGCTAAGGGTTTACACTCTTCTCTCTTACAAATAAGGTTTATGGCAGCTGGAAATGGTGACGTTTTGGGACCGGGTGCTGGTGATTCCCTGCTGTAGGCACAGAAACACTTGGACACAACAGGTGGGAAGCGTAGAGCCTACAACTGGGATCCCACAGTGGGGCCTAGTTGGGAAGCCCTTCTCCTTACCCACTATTCTCTGCTGACCCTGCCAGCGCTGAATGCTCTGGGCAGCGCTGGAGGATAAGAGGTCCATTGTGTTTAGGATGCAACCTGTCTGGCAGGTGCTGGCCTGGTCTGCAGGTACCTGACAGGTTTCCCGGGACTCAGGGCTTTCCCTTTCCTGGGATGAGTTCACTTGGGAGAGGTTCTGGAACCCTGATATTGGCGGAGTCTCTGCCAGGTGAGAGACAATGTCACCTATTGTTCTTTTGGGGCCTTTAAGCAGAAAGGGCTGGGTGTACTTGGGAAACTGGAATGACTCTTGTTACTTTGAAGTGGTTGGGAATGGTGGCGCAGGCCTATAATTCCTGTGCTCAGGAGCCTGAGGCAGGAGGATCACCATGAGTTCAAGGCCAGCCTGGGCTACATACTGAGCTTAAGGTCAGCCTAAACAAAGGGGGCCAGGTGTGGTGCTGCATGGCTATAATTCCAGCACTAGAGAGGCTGAGGCAGTGAGATTGCTGTGAGTTCGAGGCCAGCCTTGGCTATGTAGTGAAACCCTGTTTCACAAAACAAAACAACATCTTTAAGGGACATTAGATGTGATGGGCCTAGAAGAATTATAAACAGACCCAGGGGAAACAGATATGGAAAACCTTGGGTAACTTTGTGTTCTAAAGTTGCCATCTTTGAAGTGCAATTTTTAAAATCTAATTTTCATTGTTTCCTTCTGCCTTCTTATTTCTTCTATCCTACCTCAATATCTTTCCTTTTTTTTTTTTTTTTTTTTGAGATAGGGTCTTGGTATGTAGTGCAGGCTGGCCTCAAACTCTTGGTGATCCTCCTGCCTCAGCCTCTTGAGTGCTGGGGTCACAGGCATGTGCCACCGTACCCTGTGTTTCCTTTCCAGTTTTTTCCAATCATTAAAAGCTCTGAAAACTATCTTTGGTTATAGGATGGACACACACAAGGAGAGGCTGGGTTTGGCCTCAGGGCTGTCAGTTGCTGATGCATCTCTGGGTCTTTTACACCTGTGTTAGTGAGAGCCTTTCCGGGACAGATATCAGGGATTCAGGCTCTGCTTGGTTCCCTCAATCCTCACCCCTCCACAAGGTATTAAGGCAGCAGTGCTGAGACTGTCTTCACTCACGTGGGATGTAGCCGGGCCTGTAATCCACCTACTCTTATCGGGTAGCTCCTTCTAAAAGTAGATCGCCAGCAAAACGTTATCGGGCTCTACATTGCTTGCCTCTCCTTCTGGAGTTAGATTCCAGATTCTTCTCATCTGAAACAAAGAATTGAACAAAATGAGCAAAAAGCAGTGTCCAAGTCTTTTCAAGAAAGTAAAAGTGAAGAGTGGAGGAGAAACTGGATCTGCAGCGTGAGCTTGGGCCAAATAAAAGGAGGAAAAGTAATAAAAATACACCCTGGAGAAAGCTGGCAGGCTACTATGAAAAAAGTCATAGAGCAGGCTCCTCATGGCTGTGGGCATGGTGGGAGCGTACTGAGTTCTCCCATGCCAACATAGGACATTTAAGTGCATCCAGTGCACTTTTGCCCTGGCGTGAAACATCACCTCTCCTTGTGGTACACTGGGATTTTCAGTTGCCTTCACAACAAGCTGGTGCTTTCCTAGTTCTCTGATTTCTCATTTACACATCAAAGTCAATTTTAGAAAATTCCCAGCAAGCAGAGATGTCCCCCTTTTTTTTTTTTTTTTTTGGTACCGGGAATCGAACTCCGGTCCTTGCGCTTGCGCAACAGGCGACGAAACCACTGAGCTAAATCCCCGGCCCTACCCTTTGAATTTTACGTTCTTTGTGTAGGTAGCAAACACTCAGCTCAATAGTCCACCAGAATTGTGCTGGGCATGGTGGTGCATGCCTGTCGTCCCAGCACCAGGGAGGCTGAGGCAGGAGGATCACCATGAGTTTACCATGAATTCAAGGACAGCCTGGGTTACACAGTGAGATCAATGCCAGCTTGAACTACATAGCAAGACCTGTCTCAAAAAACAAAACAAAAAGCAAGCAAACAAACAAAAACAACACTAAATTACAATTAAAAAAAACCCCCCTATTTTATTGTACAAAAGAGTGACTTCATTTTCTTCTTTAGTTCTTGTTGTTACTGTTTTGTTTTGGTGAGACAAAATCTCACTACATATTTCAGCCAGATCTTGAATTCACTATGTAGCCCAGGCTGTCCTCGAACTCAGGGTGATCCTCCTGCTTCAGCCTCCTGAGTGCTGGGATCACAGGTGTGTGCCACCACGCCTACTTTAGGAATGCTTGTTCTTGGGATATGTGAAAGAGTCGGAGACTTGGCTCGGCCTCCACCCTGACCCCTGGGATGCAGCAGATGGCTTGGAGAAGAGAGATGATAAGCCCAGCACAGAGAGGTCTGGTAATGCTCCCAGGGGCACAGAGCTCTTGGCAGAAGGGCCTGGTATGGACTGAGGTGCCCCACCTGCAGGGGGGCGGTCCCTTCTGGATCTAAACCCGAGTTATTACTAAAACGCTCCACTGGTGCCATTAAAGTATTTTTAGCAGTCACTTTGTGTGAGTTCAAGGTCAGCCTAAACTACGTAGCAATATCTTATCTCAAAACAAAAGAAACAAACAACAAAAGAATGATATTGGGCCAGGGATTTAGCTCAGTGGTTCCAGCGCCTGCCTCACAAACATAAGGTCCCAAGTTCAATCCCCGGTACTAAAAAAAAAGGAAAAGAAAGAATGATATGGTTAGGTTAATACTATTTATTTCAAAGAATGTTGTGTGCACGTGAGTGTGCGTGTGTGTGTGTGTACACGCACTTGCAGGCCAGACTAGAAGGACACATGCACCAGTGTAGCAATGAGAGGCGGAGAGGAGAGAAAGACTTTATTTTCTACATCTCTGTGTATTATTTGATCTTTTTTTTTCTTCAATCTTTCATTTTTTAATTTTTTTCCCCATTAACTTTATTGTTACATTTTAGGTATACAATACAGTTACATTCATCATTGGGATCTTGTACCATTACGTGAGTCTCTTGGTTCTTTTTTTTTTTTCACTTCCCTTGCCCTCCCTTCACCCCCTCCACCCTTCCCTATTTGCAAAGACCTTGTTTCCATTTTTTTCCTTTTCTGATATTTTTTCCTTTCTCTTTTTTCTCTTCCCCTACCCCTCCCAATTCCCCTGCTCTTTTAGACCTTTTCTTCCTGTTGCACAATATCAGTTATACATTTTTTAAATTACAATGTTAAGATCTAGGAGACATTACCACAGATTTTACAGAATTTAAAAGGATATAGAAAGCATATTACAAAAATCTTCTTTGAAATAAATTTGACAACTTCTAAGAAGTAACTTAGAAGACAAATTAATGAAACTAACTCTGGAGGAAATATAAAATTTGAATAGCACCTATTAAAGAAAGTATATTCCTAGCTTGAAAACCTACCTATATGACAACAGCAGGCTCATAAACATTTTAACTGATAAATTATATCAAACATTTAAAGCAGAAAAAAGAAGGAACACGTCTCCCCTCATTTTAGGAAATCAACATTGTCCTAATCCTAAAACTGGATAAAGATAATAGAAGAAAAAAGTATGAACATAGATAGAAATTTGTTTAACAAAACAAACTATTGGAAGTCAGATCTGGCAGTATGTAGAAAGTGGTTTTGTTATAGGGATGGCAGTGTTGGTTCAGCATTGGAAGATCCACCCCCAAAAGTCATCATTTTAACAGAGGAAAGGAGAAAGCCATATGATCCTGTCACTAGTTGGAGAAAGAGTATTGGACTAAACTCTACAGCTGTTCATGTATTATTTGATCTTCAAATGGGCATGCACCAAATGCAATTGTATAAGGAACATCCTGCAGGTTCAAAGCTAAGTGAGTCTGAGGGCTTCCTGTTTGTTTCTTTGGGCTGTGAAAGAGCCCAAGTGTGATTATATCGCACGTGACTGTGCCTCCAGGGAGAGTCGGGCTCTTACTCCTAGTCTTTCCCTGGCTCTCTGCTGCTCCGTATTGTTGTAAAAGGGAAGTGCGTGAGCTGAGTCATCACTCCTGTGCCCAACGTCACCACGAGTGTCAAAGCCTGATTCATGTTCCTTTGTACATTGTCGATTTCCTTTTTCAGCTTGGCTCTGAGTGTCTGTCACCAAGGGTGTGCAGACCTGGTGTTTCTCCACGGTGTCTCTCCTGCGCGCTGCAGTCCAGGGCTTCGGGTCCCGAGGAGCCCTGACCCTTAGAATCCTTGTGTGACCTCGGCAATTAACTTACTGACTCTGAAACTCAGCATCCTTGGCTATGTGGCAGGGACACTTATAATTATCCTGCAGGGTTATTATCAAAATCAAATGAGAGCCCACAAGAAAGCTTTTGGAAACTACAGACACCATACAAAAGAATATGAAAGATTGTTTTCCAGGAACAAGACACTTGCCGCCCACTGACTACAGGCTTAGGAACACAGCTTCTCTGCCTTATTCCCCTGTCCCTCCCTCGCAAACCATGGCCTCTCTCCCCCAGAAAAGGTTTTCTTGGCAGGCCCACTTCAATTGTTTAGTGTTTTCAGAGAGACATGCCAGGATTCACAGGCAAGTCCAGGAACTTGGAGGAAAACACTTCCTTCTTCAGCCTCAAGCCCGGATTGGTCCCTATCGAGATCAAGTCTTTTGTACCCTTTTTTCCTTTTAAATTTGGCTCCTTGGAGAGCTGGGGCCCGCGGCCTGTACAGCGTTTACTAAAGGGTTTCCCAACTGTAGTGGGTTTCAGAGGTATTCACAGTTGGTGACACTTGGTCCGCGACAGTGGGGTCTCTATTCCTGTTCTTTATGATCCTCTTACCAGTGACATAGGGGGAAGAGATGCAACTCCCAAACCTGGTAGATATCCGAAGCACGAGTTCGTGTTCTCTGCAATCGAAGAATGAATTCTAGGAACAGCGGAGGTTAAGAGTAGGAAAAATATATTGAGAGAAAGAAAGCTTCTGCCTAAGAGAGACAGAAGGGAGAGCGGAAAATGGGTTGCCTGCCCATTCTGCTTCTCAAAGGTTTTTTATGGGGCAAAGTCACGAGGTGAGGTGGGTTCAAGGTGGGACAAAACTGTGGTCAACTAGTAAGATCGAAAATACAGTCAGTCACTTAGGTAATACTGATCCAGTGAGAAATCACAAGGTGGACATGAGGTGGGACAAAACTATGATCAACCAATAAGACTATGATCAACAATAAGACTATGACAAGAATAGTCGCTTAGGTAATATTGATTAGATGGGGATCCAATGGGGAAGCAAGTCACACAGCCAGCATACAGGGAACAAGTAAGGATTTTTGGTAAGGGATGGGTCAGCGATCTTTTCAGGAAGGTCTTAGTCCCCCACACAGGTGATGGATACCTAGGTAAAATTTCAATCACTGCTATTCATCCCTAGGGGAAGCACATGAGTATGGTAGTTTCTCCTTTTACAATGCTGGCCTTTAGTGAATGTGTCTCCTCTGTCCTCCATGTTGGCTCTTCAAGGGCTGGCCCTGTCTAACTGCCTACAAGATATCTAAATAACTCACCTATCTACAACACCGGTACAGCAGGGTGGAAGTGTTGCCGTGTGGATTTCAAGGCTGAGTTGTAGAAGACCCTGAAGCCTCTGCCCTGTCTCCTGGGACCTTTGCTTGTGGTACCCCACTGCCATGCAAGAGGACCCACTGGGCCGGCCCTGCTGCAGCTGCCTGGAGGAGACGTCTGCTTGGCATCCCCACGTGGCACAGGGTTCCAGCCATGACTCCAGGAACATGAGGGAAGCCAGCTTGGACCCTCCAGACCCCATCCCCACCGCTGATGAAGGCCAGGCCCCCACCAGCACCTCATGGACAGGATGCCCAGCCCTGCTTCAGTTCACGACCCGCCGAATGTGGGCTGATTTGTCACTCAACAATCGGAAACCAGGTCACTGACCACAGATCCCATTCAGCTCAAGTTTTGGGACATTAAGCATAATTTTAGGATCAGTTTACCTTCTTGTATTCTTTGCATTGGAATTTAGACCTAAGAAAGAATTCTTATTCTTAATTATGGCTGCATACACACACACACACACACACACAGACACACACACACACACACACACACACACACGCGCGCGCATTTTTACCTCATTCTGTTTCTGGTTCTGTAAGACCGAGGGCCTTACCAAACGCTCCGAGGAGCTGACTGCAGTGAAGGACACCCGGGGATCCCAGCGGTGCCTCCAAAATGTAAGACCGAGGGCCTTACCAAACGCTCCGAGGAGCTGACTGCAGCGACGATCACCCGGGAAGGAACACACCGGACAAGTTGGAAAGTAAAACAGACCTTTATTAGTCTGGCCAGACGGCACTCCCAAAGCAAAGTAGCTAAGAGAGGCAACTGGCTCAGAGTCCGAGGCTGTTTTTATAGGGGGTTGAGGGGGAGGTTAACATGTAGATTTACGGAAAAAAAGGAACAAAGGTTGGTGGTCGACTGTCACGTACTAACGGTCAGCAGACACACAGTAATGGTCACGACCATATGGTCACGACTGTCACGTACTGATGATCAGCAGACTCAGTGATGGATTGTTCTACCGATAGTGGGTCCGGGAATTTTCGTTCTCTGGACAAACAAGGGGTTGAATGATTTACTCAGGAACTTTGCTTTGTTACAGATTTTATCTACTATTTCAAGACTAACAAGCACATTCTAACCATTAAATTTTAAACATAACAGAGGCTAGGGGAATAAATGAATTTTGAATCATACAGTCCCACAGTTCTCCTCCTTTATAATTTAATTGTATTTGGTATGTTCATTCCACCAGTAGTTCTGCAGTCTGCTTTTAACAGCTATGTCGTATTCTAGCTTTCATAGCAGGGTTAGTGTCCCTCTTTGGTTGGATTTTTAACCCTTGATCCCTAGTCTGGGCGTTTCCTCAGGGCTGCTCCTCCTGGTCGGTACTCTCCACCTTGTCTTCCTCCAGGCCTCTTCCTGCTGTCAGGTAAGGTCTTCCGGCTGAGTTCTGGGCACTAAAACACAAGGGATGTGATAAAGCACCACTTCCAGGCTTGCCCCATAAGAGTGGAAGTAATTTCCACTTTTATTGGGGGGGCATTTTATAATGTATGGATAGTATCTCAGTAAGAAACCATGTAAAGCGACACAAATATCCACCTTACACTGAGTCTAAAAAGGGGGGAACCCCCCACACTGAATGTAAATTTTAATTATAAAACATGAAAATGGATGAAACCCTGAAACAGGAATGAACTATAAACAGTGAAGGCTCAGATGAGTCACAGTGGGGCAGGGTGGGGTCGAAACCTCCTGCTCATTCGAAAGCCCGGGACTAGAACAGGCGTGGTTGCTCCTCATTGTCCTGTAAATCCTGGCTATGGACCATTCCCGACCTCCACCCCACCAGCCGGGCTCCCTTTCACCAGTGCCCTCTGGGCTGTCCCCCCAGCCCCACGCCCTGCAGCCCTGCCCTCTGTTTACAGACCACATTTTCCTCCCCTGTTTAATCTGCCTTCTGTAAAGCTCTTTAAGAAGATCAAATGATTCACGTTGTACATCTACTATTCACCTAGCAGATCGGCAGGTGGCGCATAAAATAATGAACAGGTTGGATTCCTAAAGACTGTGACTTCTCGGGGTGGAGGGAGGAGAGGGTAGGACACAGAGCGGTCCGGCCACCCTCGTTCCCCTCGGCTCTTCCCTTCCGCTGTTTACCGGGAGTGTGAATGGTGAGGGCCCGGGACAGCACAGAAATTAGGCCCTTGGTCCCTGGGCAGCAGAACACGGCATGTTCAAGCCACGTGGGCTACACAAGGAAAGAGTGCCAGTGGAGGACCGGACTGGCTGTCCAGTGAGCTTTCAGAACGTTAAACGAAACTGGTTTTCTAGTCACAGACACATTTGGTAGAACCTAGGCTTGTTACAACGTAGTTTGCATTTTGGTTATTAAACAGTATCGAATTGATTAGGGCAGAATATTGCCGTGTTTAAACTTATAATTATTATTATTTTGGTTTTTGAAACAGGGTCTCACTATATAACCCAGGCTGGCCTTGAACTTGCAGTGATCCTCCTGCCTCAGCCTCCTCAGTGGACTACAGGTGTGTGCCACCACACCCAGCCACTTAAACTTACTTTGTTGCCAATTTTTTTTTTTACCAAGTACAGTGTTGCCGTTTAGCGATATGCTTGGTTTTAAAGAAATTTTCCTTGCAGGGGAGTATCTTTTAAAAATTTTACTTCTTTTAAGCCTAAATGCCTGGACATAGCTGCTGTATCATCTTTAAATCATTTTGAATGTTTTTTGAGCCTACAACAAATAAAATTTTAAAGTTATTCCCTTGCTATTTTACTGATTCCTTTATCATTCCTGGGACAGTCTGCAGATTTAAAAATGTAGCATTTCAGGGATTTAGCTCAGTGGTGCTGTGCCTGCCTTGCAAGTGCAAGGTCCTGAGTTCAATCCCCAGTACTGAAAAAAATATATAGCATTTCATTTATATTTATTTCTATTCCTTGCCAGAAAGATTTTCTAATACTGCTTGTATCAGCAGGGACATGCTCCAAAACACTGTTCAGCTCCCTTGCACTGAGGAACCTATTATTATAGATAGGTAAGTTAATTAGATATCTCGCAGGCAGTTAGACAGGGCTGGCCCTTGAGAAGCTAACATGGAGGTCAGAGGAGACACATTCACTAAAGGCCAGCATTGTAGAAGAGAAACTACCACACCTAATGCTTCCCCGAAGGATGAATTAGTATTTTAAATAGGTATCAATCAACTGTGTGGGGGACCACGATCTCACCCATCCTGCTAGTAAAGATTCCCTGACTGAAAATCCTTGTACACTCACTATGTGACTTGCTTCCCCATTGGATCCCCATCTAATCAAAATTACCTAAGTGACTGTTCTTGCCATAGTCTTTCTTATTGGCTGAGCACAGTTTTGTCCACCGTGTGATTCCTCATTGGATTAATATTACCTAAGCGACTGTACTTGCAATCTTACTAGTTGACTACAGTTTTGTTCCACCTTGAACCCACCTCACCTTGTGGCTTTGTCCCATAAAACACCTTTGAAAAGCAGGATGGGCGGCCAACCCACTTTCCGGTCCCCCTTCTGTCTCTCTTAGACAGAAGCTACCTTTCTCTCAATAAAGTTTTCCTACGTTTAACCTCCATTGTCCCTAGAATTCATTCTTCAATTTTAGAGAACATGAACTCGAGCTTCAGATATCTAGCAGGTTTGGGAGTTGCATCTCTTCCCCCTTTATCACTGCTTCTTCCCCACATTGTCAGCTCTTGGCTTCCATCAGCCAGATGCACCTTGGTGTGGTTTGGATTTGACAGCTGACTCTGTGCTGTTTGCAGAGAGCTCATATGGAGGTGGTTTTCACTGCTCAGCAGCTCATCTCCCTTTGTGCTGCATGTTGCTTTTGGTATCAGCCTGACTTTGCCCAGTCTATAATGATCCTGCTGATGTTTTGTTGTTTATTGATGAACGTATCTTCATTAAGAGTTTTGGGAAAATTTATCAGACTCAATTTTTCCTCATACCCATTTGGAATTATTCCTAATAAAATGATATAAAAAAAGAAAGTCTTGGGCTGGGGATTTAGCTCAGTGGTGCCGATGCCTGCCTCGAAAGCGCAAGGTCCCGAGTTTGACCCCTGGTAACCACCCCCTGAGAAAAATAAAGTTAGAAAACAATACCCAATGGCCAAGGAAGGATGATGTTAGTTCCTTGAGGCCCACTAGAGTGTGCCCCATGGCTTGGCTAACCCTTTTTCAAGTCCTTTGGCCGGAGGGAAGATGCTGGGACCAAGCCCAGGGGCTCATACATGCTAGGCAAATGCTCTACCACCGAGCTACATTCCTAGCCCTTTCTACTTCTCTTGGAACAGGGTATTGCTAAGTGGCCCAGTCTGGCACTGAACTCATGATCCTCCTGTTTCAGCCTCCCAAGTAGCTGGGATTACACCAGGCAGGTTTTCGTGTGTGTGTGTGTGTGTGTGTGTGTGTGTGTGTGTGTGTGTGGTTCTTTTTGGCTTGTGACCCCTGGCTTTCTCTAGCACATAGTTGAGGGTATCTTCTTTTAAAGTTTTAATTCAATTTATTGAGGTGTAATTTATAAGCAATAGCACATACTCATTTCATGTGTACATACAATGAATTTTGGACAATTGCATGCAATCATGTAAATATTATCACAAGATATAGAACTCATCCATTGTTAAAAATTTCCTAAAGGTGTTAACACTACCCAGCGGGGTGTGGTGGCCCAGGCCTGTAATCCCCGTACTCAGGAGGCTGAGGCAGGGGGATCAGGGCAAGTTCAAGGCCAACACGGGCTATATAGTGAGTCAAGGGCAGGCTGAACTACACAGTGAGACCTTGTTGCAAAACAACAACAACAATAAAAACAAAAACAAAACAAAAACAACAACAAAAAGACTTAAAACTATAAAGCTCAAAGATAAAGACGCTGGAGAAAGGAGTCACGACCTTAGATTTAGCAATGATTTCTTAGACAACTCAAAAAATCAAGCGCAAGGACCCGAGTTCGATCCCCGGTACCAAAAAAAAAAAACAAAAACATGAGCAAAGGAAGAAAAACATAGATAAACTAGATTTTACCAAAATGACAAAGTTTTATGTATCAGGGATGCTATCAACTGAGTGAAAAGGCAGGCTGGAGGGTGGATAAAAATATTTGCAAATCACATCTCTGAGAAGGGATTTATACCCAGGATATATAAAGAACTACAATTCAACAACAGTAACTACCCAATTAAAATGTGGGCAAAGGACTCAAATAGCTATTCCTCCAAAGAAGATGTACAAATGTCCAATAAGCACATGAAAAGAGCTCAACAGAACTGTGATCAGGGAAATGCAGATCAAAACCAACAGGAGGTATCACTTCACTGACATTAAGAAGCCTTTCCTAAAAAACCGTGCACACAAAGTATTGGCAAAGACATGGAGAAGTTGGAACACTTGTGCATTGCTGATGGGAATGTAGAACAGTGTAACTGTTGTGGAAAATGGTTTGGCAATTTCTCAAAAGATTAAATATAAAATTACCATGCGATCCAGCTGTACTGCTTCAGATTAGCAAAGTGAAGGTGGCGACTTGAACAGATATTTATGCATCTCTGTTCAGAGAGCATTATCCACAGTAGCCCAAAGGAGGAGACA